TTCCAAAGGAAAAAAATTAAAATAATGAGCCTAAAACTCGCAGTGTATAGGGTTAGAAAAGAAAAACACTAATCCGAAATAATGCTACAACAGAGAGAGGTCAAACTCAAGAGCCAAAATCCAAGTACCCTGAACCCTGCAAGTTTTACGCTACATATTTTTTCTCACGCTCCCGGTGAAAAATAAAATTTTACGCTCGATATTCTTACACGCATTTTCCATTGAGAAAAAAAAAATAGAGCCGACGCTACACCTACGCCGGCTATTTCCGGGAGCCGAAACCAAACCACCCTGGACCCGCCGAGTTTTATGCTCCAGACTTTTACACGAGTTTTTCTTTCTTCTTGAACAAATTTTGTTCACTCTGAAGAATTTGATCTCGGCTTTTAATTGTTGATCAAGATCAACAACAAAATTTTAAGAAATTTAGCTCTATTTATTCAAAAATTATTTGCTTTCATAGAAATACCTACAGAAAATATAACATATACTTACGAAATATTAGGTATAATATAAAAAAAAATATGAGCACCAAACTCGCAGGGTACAGGGTTCTTGGATTTTGGCTCTCGTGGTTTGCATGTCTAAATTACAGCGGTGTTTTAGATTAGTGTTTTTTTTTAAGAAAAAAGTAAAAATCATGAGCGTAAAACTCGCAGGTTCAAGATTTTTGGGTTATGACTGTCGTGGTTTACCTCTCTGAGTCGTTGCGTTGTTTCAAATTAGTGTTTTTTTTTCTACAGGAAAAAATAGAAAATTATGAGCGTAAAACTCGGCGGGTCCAGGGTAGTTTGGTATCGGCTCCCGGAAATAGCCGGCGTAGGTGTAGCGTCGGCTCTATTTTTTTTTTCTTAATGGAAAATGCGTGTAAGAATATCGAGCGTAAAATTTTATATTTCACCGGGAGCGTGAGAAAAAATATGTAGCGTAAAACTTGCAGGGTTCAGGGTACTTGGATTTTGGCTCTCGAGTTTGACCTCTCTTAGTTGTAGCGTTGTTTCAGATTAGTGCTTTTCTTTTCTAACCCTATACCCTGCGAGTTTTAGGCTTATTATTTTAATTTTTTTCCTTTAGAAAGAAAACCGTAATCTATAACAGCGCTACAACTCAGACAGGTAAACCACGAGAGCCACAACCGAAGTACCCTGCGAGTCTAACGCTCATTATTTTTACTTTTTTTTCCTTATTATAAGAAGGCTCTCTTAAGTCCTCATCGCAGTCTCGGCGTTAGCAGCTTACATTTTTTTCTTATAGTTTTGACACTGCCCCATAAGTGCACTTATTTTTTTACACATAATTTCGATGCCGTCTCATAAGAGCACATGTTAAACATCATATTTCTCTTTATGTAGTACTATACTATATGTCCCAAAAAAACTGGTGTGAGTACAGAAGACTTCAAACGATGATCAGTTTGAGTTTCAGTAAATTCTGTCATTATTTGAAATGGACCAGACGACGTCCTTAATTTGAAACTCATGCATATAATCAGAGATGAACAATACAATAAGTAGAAATATGGCTTATTCGCAACTTTCAAGTTGCACGTGATATAGGAAAGAAAACGAATGCATCCCAACAGTCATCGATAGCAAAGTGGTAAAGGACAAGTCTGATAATATAAAGATCCCGGGTTCAAGCCTTGGTCAAGACACTTTTTTTTTTTTTATAATTCATCCTCCATAGAACCTATTAGTAAAATTTTATATACTGATAACCAATACGTTATTTATTTATTATTTGAAATTTTACTTCACGTCAAATCCAGATTGATAAATCCACCTGGATTTTCAAAAAAATCCATCTGGAATCCATATGGAAATCCAGCCTGGAAATCCATATGAAATCCATATGGAATCCATATGAATCCACCTGGAAATCTACCTGGATATCCATGTGGAAATCCAGCCTGGATTTCCAGCTGGATTTTTTCAATAGGGTCAATTCCCGTTACAAGCAAAATTGTTTTGCGATTGTAATAGTTTCAGTTAATTAAATTAATATAATTGTATAACTAAACATAAATCAATGTAATAATGTAACACTAGAATAATTAATATATAAATTTTTATTCTATAAAAACTGTACCAAAAGATTTCATAAAAATTTGCTAATAAATTTTGTAAAATTTATAAGAAATGTTTCGTGAAGTATTTCTCTACTTTTCTCTTTTCTCTACTTTACTCTTTTCATAGTTTTTGTTGTTTTGTTACACAAATATATATTAATATGCGCATACAACAAAAACTATGAAAACATTGCAAATAATGTTGCTGTAATATTTCTTGAAATGTTTTGGTAGCATTGTATGATATATTTCAGAAACATTTATGTGTCTGTACATGAAACCTATCCCACAGAAATATTGCGAGAAAAATTGCTGCAATGTTTACATGAAATATCGCTGTGATATTTTTTGAAATATTGTAGTTATATTTTAATAAAATATTGCATAAATATTTATATATCTATGCAAGAGAGGTTACGGAAAACATTACTACAGTTTGTTTCGCACGGACGTATAAATATTTCTAAAATATTTCAATGAAATATTACTGACAAGTTTTGAACCTTTCACGAAACTTTGTAGAAAACTTGCAGGAACATTTAATGTTGTGTGGGTTATTGTGAAAAAATCTTTTCAAAACGCATAGAATACGTTTATCATACCCTTGAAACTCCTAAACTCTTAATTTTATTTGAAAAAAAACGTTTTTCAAATTTTTTAAAACGTTTTTTAAACACTTTTAAAATAAAAATAATTGGAGGAATAAAAAATTAGCAGATATATAAGCTATTTCCTGAACGGTTTACATATGTTTTTTGAACGTAAATTGAAAATGTTTTTTTTTGTTTTCTAGAAAATGGTTTTAAAACCTTTTAAAAAAGGCTTGGTGTTTCTCGGGAATAGCAATTTATATTATCGAAAAATTTTTAATCATAATCTCTTACATGAATTAATTCTTAGCAAAGTATAATCATATATAATAATTTTATTAATCGAGAACACACCTACTGCAAGGACTTGTGCAAAAAATTGAAGAAGTTCTAATGCTACATACGCAATTTCTTAACTTAAGTCTGATCTAAGCTTTTGTCTAATTTATCATGATATCGAATCCATACGAATCCACATCATAGATATTCAAGTGAATATAATTAAATATTAATGTGGAAATCCATTTTGAATATGTCTCTATTTCGTGTAAATTTTTTACTAAATTAGTATAAAAGTTCTTATAATATTTATAGCTTTGAACAGGTGCATATTGATACGAATATATTTAAAATATTCGTAAAATTTTTCTAACAAAATTTGTACAAATTTCGTATAAATTTTGTATAAGCGATAATACGGTTATTGTACTTGTACATTTATATATTGTACACAGTTTGTGCAGAAACTCTAGCTTTTATTAAAAATAAAAGATGTTTCAATTATAGACCTGAGTATAAAGTTCATTTCTTAATAGATTTAATGTATGAAAGCGTCATTTTCCAGCATAAAGAATTGTTTCCAAAATGTTGCCAAAACATTTCTTTAGAAAGATCGCGCAATTTTTCCGGTAACTATAAAAAATGATGCAGCAATGTTTTCGAAACGTTCGAGTGTCCTCTTTTGTTTGAAGCCAAATGTTGCGAAAATATTGCTGAAAGTAATTTTCTAAATGTTGTCACAATGTTGATACAACATATTTGAAAGTCTTTTGGCAATATTTAAGCAACTTTTCTAAAACATTACAAAAAATTTATTTCAGCAAACGAAAATATTGTGGAAACATTTTTGGAAACGTTGATAAAACGTCGTTAAAAAATTGATAAAACAAATCTGTTGTGGTCAGTATTTAACTTTGTACTGTTTTAGAAACCTTGCCTAAATATTGCCAGAAGGTTTTTAAATATATGTTATAACAACATTGTGATAAAATTCAGAAAACTGGTTTCAAAATTTTGGCAATATTTAACTTCAAACAAAGGCGTACATGGACATTTATTGTTGCAAGATTCTTGACGGTTGCCGGAAAAATTGCAATGTTTCCAGAAAATATTTTGATAACATTTTAGAAACAATTCTTGTTGGCTGAATTTGTTCATTATAATCACATTTATAAAGATACTTTACTCGTTACTAGTTACATAGATTTAGTTGTTAAATTCCTACAAAATATCGAAAAAAGTTGAAAATAATTAAATGATTGCTAACAATATATCATTTAATTAGCTGTGAATATTTTATATTATTTTAGTTCAAGAAAATATTTTAATATAATAGGTTTTCTAAGATCATTTCAAATAAATACTTAAGTAGTAGATCGACAATTTAGAATATGTCATGTAAATTATAAACTATATGACATGCATCACGTAACAAATCAAGAATCAATTCGCATAATTTTTATCATCACATAATGTTTATCATTATCACATACAAATTTAATTACAAGTCGAACTATTATAGAAATTATGAAGAGTAATTTGAATTTTCTTTTATTTTATCATTAATTCAAGTATGCATGTTATAATTTTATATTTCATTTTAACTCATTCAAATAAAAAATAGTTCTTTATAAAACTATACGTGTGCATTTTATTCTGTCAATTTATGTATAGCGCGTAAAGTGTTGATTTTAAAAAGGTAAGATGGGCCGTTCTTGATTACCTTATATGGTAAAGCTTGCCTAATATGGAAGGGTCTACTTCTAAATATGGCATCCATACAAAGCTTCCGCACAGCAGCTCATGTGACTACGCTCTTGGTATTTCAAAACAAGTTTTTAAAAAATGAATAATTCGAACGGTATTTAAAAAAATATTTGAAAAATATATTCAAAACTTATACTTGAAAAAGAAATTATCAGTATTGTCGATATTTATTTTGCTAATGAAAGGAACGGGTTTGGATGTTGCACGCGTAGTAGAAGTAGAAGGGATGAACATGTGTTCGTAGAGCTGTCGACCGGCAATGGAAGAGAGTAAACAGTAACATAACCCATGAAATATGTGTACACTGGAAAAATTAAAGTATTTTATATTTCACGAGTCTAACAGTGATCTTGATGAGTTTATTAACAATATTAGAGAAATGTGTTTATATTTATTCTAATTGTCTTCCCACTTTTAATGTAAAATTTATTGGTACCACAGGAAAAAAGAAAGGTCCGTCGAGAGGGCGGGGGAAGAGTATTGGTAAAACACCACTGCTACACTACTAACAGTGAGATACTTCAGTCTGCGGAAACCGCTTGTGTATGTTGCATCGTTATCGCATGTCTTTCTCAGTTGGCCACGTGGGTTCTAAGTTTACAATTCAACAACCAATATAGTATAACAAGGGAATTTCTTTAATCGATTTTTTGAAACGTAATGTTTAACAGTTGACAGTCAGTTAACCATTCCATAATACTTTCAAGCGGTTGGCACCCATTGTTGGTAAAATAATTAATAATTATTTCTCAAAGATGAGAGGGGCTTAGGCCAAGATAAGATAGTTAGATGTTATTCTTAACGTAATGGATGATTCTACTGATACAAGAGACACTCGATATGAAACCCTTGGCTATAACATAAATATAATGGGTAGCGATAATACAGTTTCTGAAATTTATAGTCGACAATCTACTTCTCAATTACAAAGCCATCCAGGTGTTAGTAACAGTATAGTTACAAGTGATGGAACTGATACTTCTGGATCACTGAGTACTGAAAATATTAATTTAATCTCTACTAATAATACCGTAATCAGTGTACAACGAGGGTTGAAAAGAACTTCTAATGATATGTGTTATAATGATGGTCCAAATGAAACTCGTCAACTAATATCTTCATCTCTTATATCAAGAGATTGTGTAAATGATAACTGTGAGGAATCTTACAATAATATTGCCCTGTCAAAAAAATCACCTCCCTCTAATGGTAAGAAAACTAAAGGAAGAGTCAAGATTAAGATGGAATATATTGATAATAAGCTGAGAAGATATACTACTTTTTCAAAACGGAAGACAGGCATTATGAAGAAGGTGCAATATTTTTAACACTCAAGTATTTTTAATTGTTTTGTAAAATTTAAATTTTATTTTCTTTTTTCTCTATCGATTAAGTGCCCATATTTAAATTTTCATGTAATTTTGTTCTAATTGATTATTTGATTTGATCGGATAATTTTATATTCTGTTCAAACTCCATCCTAATGAGTAAACCATGAATGGCATTTATAAAATACTGGAAGTTAAAAAGCAGGTTTGTTTTGAAAACATGACTTTAAAGATTCAACTAGTTATAAAGTATAAAATAAAAAAGTTATGCTTACATTGCATATTCCATGGTAATATTAAAAATTTTTTTAATTATTTTACCTGGAGATTGTATGAAACTAGCTAAACTATTTGTTTTATATAAATTTTTTATATATCATGCAACATAAACATTACATCTTAAGAAATGTATAGTATAGATAAAATAAATTTTGTGCAAATGAAAAAAATTTATATTTTTGAAAAAGTTAATATTATATTTATATTTAATTTTTAAAAATATGAAAAGAAACCAATTATCTTAATAAAATTAGAGAACATAATTTTTATTTTAAGAATCTTCGTTCATTGATTATTATTATTACTGCTGAATAATTTTCTTTTTATAGCAAAACTGCAAAAGCTAGTTAATTTCAAAATTATGAATAGAATATAAATAATGTATATTTATCATTGTATTTATCCATATGTAAAAGGTGGCAAAAATTCAATTGTTTTGTTAGGGGCAGGAATGTAATTAATCTATAAGTTGCATCTTAACCAAGTGGAAAATTTTCCGTGTATAAATGTGTCAAACTGTGATAAATATGATTTTGACCATACGTTTTTACACTTTTATACAGTTTCATATATTATACAACATTAATAAATGTATGTCAAGACTTTCTAAGCTAATTAATTGTAGATTTGAATTATAGTAATAATTTGTTTCTACAAGTTGATGCATTTTTAAAATAGACAGAGAAGCTGATAAATGCTTAAAATATTTGAAAGTTAACTATAAAAATGAAATATGAAATTGATAATACTTTATACAAATAGAATTTTAACAAGCGCATTACGGATTCGTAGAGGAAACTGAAAACCTTTTTTAACATTTGGTATACTAAATAAAACAACTAATTTAAAAAAATTGTTTGTATCAATTTTGGATTTTCATATATTTTTTTGTCTATGACTAATGAATTAATTTGTTTTTTATTTGTATTTAAAATCACATCAGGACCAAAAATCTTAGATTCATGAAGGATTAGTATGCATGTTGAAATATGGGAAACATTTATAGATTAAATATGTAAATAGGACTGTTTATTTTTTGGAAGTTATTACATCATTTCAGCAACATAATCATTTACAGTATAGTATCTTCGCGTCGTTTCTTTTATATACAATGTCTGCTGACTTACGATTCGGTAATTTAGCACTGTTCATGTTCTATACCATGTATCACATTCCTTTGGTTTTAAATTATTTGACATAAATTTACCTCTTATTTTTACAGACCTTTTTAAACTTATATCATACAGCTTATTATACAATTGGCAATTCTGTTCTGATTTTTTCAAATTTGTTTCATCCTAGAGCTTTTGTTAAAATATCAGTAATTTTTGCTGATTTAATTTTTGCAATGTTTATAATTTTTTGTTCATAACCTTCGTTTATAAAGTGGTGATATATTTTTATATATTTTGAGTTCTTTGTCAAATTTTCGAATTAAGAAATTGTAATTGCTCCAGAATTATCTTCATAAATATTAATCTTTTTATCAATATTTACTTTTGAATCTTTCAATAAATTGTTTACAATTTTAACTTCATTAACTGACTCTGATAAAGCTACATATTCAACAGCTGTTGATTTAATAACGCTACCGTGTTTTATGAATTTCCAATAAACGACGTTACCAAAGATTCTTATTACAATTCTAATCGTAGATTTCCTGTCATTAATATTTCCAACCCAGTCAGCGTCAACAAAACAATCCATAACATCAGCATTTGTATTCCTTTTGTAAGTTAATTTAAAATTTTTCGTTTAAAGTAAATTTGAGAATTTCGAAGTATAAATATTTTGTAATTCTTAATACATATTTATAGTGAGTTTCATAAAAATCATTTTGAAATTTACTTAAATAATAATTTATGCTATAACTGATAGTTACTCTTCTTGAGTAAATATCTTAGTGACACGAGCGCAAAAATGGAATAAGGTGTTATATTAGCCTTATATGCCCCTCGTGCAGCAAAACTAAAAAGTATAGGTCGGGAATGCTTCACGGCACAGATGAAGTTCTCGCGCAGCCGCTCTATTACCACCTTCTAGGAATACATTATTTTGTTATAATTTATTAAAATGACAATTGTAACTTATTTTTTAATTTTCATTTGTTCTATGCAATAATAAATTACATTAACTCAGAAACATAAAAAAAAAATTTATTTTTGTCTGTTGAATCATTTTAGTTGTTTACTTTACTTTTTACTCGCGTGTTTTTACTACCATCCTAATCATTGACATTGTGTAAAACTTTATCAACATTTTTTATTATAGTCATCACTTTTATGCCGTTACATTCGTAAACCTGTATCCCCTGTAAAAAATAATAGCATAAATATTCAAATTTAAAATTGCTATGGAGAGCTGTCTAAACAGTATCATAACTTTCTACTAATTAAAAAAAATTCTACTTTTCCTAACTCTATTTAAATGTAAATTATTGTTACGCTCTAGTTTTTTATTCATTAAAAAAATTATATTTTAATTAACATATATAAAATTTGACTAAATGCAACACTGAACAATTCCGAAACAAAAATATTTAGTTTATCTTCTATATAATATAGTCATATGCTATCATGCGGTGCTTCAGTAGGCTCTTGTGTTCGTTGCGAAACATGATAGATGATTTGCCTCCTAAGATCCGAATGAGGAGCCCTCACGGGAACTTCCTGTATTAGCAAGACAGCCACAAAAATTTTGACATCGGGCTGTTCCTGTACTTATAATATCCTAATTAATTTTCTATATTTTAAATTACTTGACGCTAGCTGTGTAAGTTCTAGACTGAAATTTTATTTTATTGGTATGTACAATATAGTTTCGCATTTACAATATTATATTTTCTAGCCAATAATTTGATATAATTGCTTTGGTCAAGTTTCATTTTGTTTTGTTCATAATTATATTTGATATTTATTACTAAATAAGTATATTACTTTTCTTGTAGCAAGTGTAATTAGTCAACTTTTATAGATATGAAATATGTACTATTAATTTATTAATTCAGATTTCTGTTAAAAATATTCGCTCGCGTTATTGTAAATGAGAATTTGAATTAGTTATTATAAAAATTCGCTTATAATTAATGTAAAATCATTAAAATGAAATGAGCATTATACTACAGTAATAACCTATCAACAAAACGCTATCCTAATTATTATTTAAACTAAGATAAAGATTCGTTATTGTAGGACATATGATAACGAAATATTAGTAAACTACTATGAAGGAAATGGCCTCAATAGCATCGTATTAAGTAATTTGCATTATCCTTTACAGTTGACAACTTTGAACTAATAATTGGAAATTACTCAAATTTTTAACAAATTGTAGCAATTTCTAATTATAGTAGGCTGTATATCTACGAATTTCTCTCACTAAAAAACATATTGACCACAACAGAATCAGGGTATTAATTCGCCGTCATGAGAAATCTTAGATCTTCTAAAGAATTTCAATAAATTAACAAATTAAATAGTTTTAAGAGTAATACTTATAGAATCTTTTTCTCAGAGGGATATATTTCTCTGGAGACGCCTATCCAGTGTTCAAAAATAGAAAGAAAATCTCTAAGCATGACAGTAAACAAAATTTAAATAAAGGTCGAAGAAAATTCCGACCATTTATTAAAATCGGTTCGCTGCTCGCGTTACGCACAAGGTTGGATTAAGAGTGCTGTTCCTTGCGGTGCAAGTAGGCCTATTTATACTCGTACATCAGATGGGTACACACATTTCGTCCCACTATCGAAATTCCAAATTTTTAAGAATTCAGATTTGCAAGATTTGAAATACATTTTAAAAGTACACAATATAGTAAATGTCTGATTAATAATTTATACCTTGCAAACACAATTTTCATCTGATTATAAGTTAAATTTGTTAGTTTCTTCGAAATTTTATGTCAATGATAGCAGTAACAATTGGATTATATATTAAACAAAGAAAATTTAATAGTTATAAATTATTGAACTGAAATAATTATAGTTTTTCATGAGTCATTGTAATTTTCATTTAAGTTCAAGGCTTATTTGCTTTTCAATCAATAGTAAATCGTTCAAATAAAGTTCTTATACCAAGTTGTTTATAACTTTATAAAAACAGTTATCAATAATTCAAATTCTCATTTTCCATAGTGCATTTCGTTACATAATTTTTATTTCATTCGGAATTTTGTATGCATAGTAATTCATTCTTTCAATTGCTAATAATATTCGCAATAAACTCATTTAAAATTATACAGTTTATACTTTATCTGATTTATAGACCTTATCTATTTCATCATTATAGCTTATTAAGTATTTCATAAATACTTCTGATTTAACAAAATCATTTAATAATAAGCTATTTCAACGACCATCTGCACAAGCATTAATTCATATTAACAACAATAAGACAATAATAATGTTAAGATTAGAATTCGAGCTATTAATGAATATAACTCTTCTAGTACGTTAACTTGTTGAAAGCCTCTTAACATAAGTTTTGCTTTTTTCGATTATTAGATTTAATTGTGAAAATCCGATTTACATATAGTATTTTTTTAATTTGTAGCCTTCTCGATTAATTTACATGTTTCATTTTTTATAAAATAATTCTTTTCTCTGGTCAAAGCCTCTTTCTATAAATCATTATTGTTACTAATAATCGCTTCTTCATAAGTTACACATAAATCCAGTGACTATATGCGTTTACTACATTTACATA